GAGCAAGAGAATCAGTCACTTGAGAAGGGCCGGGCGCAGCAACAACTCTGACGACAGCGGTGACAAAGAAATGATGTGCCCGTCTCTGTCAGTTATCGCACCGTCAAATTTCCAAACGTCAATTGTAATGATTGCAAAGCTTCGAAAGAATCTCAATCTGATCCAAATGGTCACCAGATTCTAATCAGGAAATTTGATGCGAATTTTCCAATCACGGCTCGTACTTAACGGACTCGTTATTCCTTTAACCTCCCAAAAAAGTTGATCTTCCTGTATAAGGCAGTTCAAGAACTGAACGCCTCGCAGTTAAAACAGTATTATCATTTGGTAAAATTCTCCCAGACTTACCAATCCTTGCCACCTTACCTTCCTAGAGGTAGGGATATGAGGGTCTTTGCTGACTTGTTCGCACTGTTGATAATGGCGATCAGCGATAAAAGAACACCCTCTTCTCACATCGGCCAGTCCGAAAAGTTATTAAGAGCACCAACCACTCCGCAGATCAAACTACCTGCATTGGTGTGTCGACTGATCAGCACCGTCGAAACTCTACGCATCAGGTGATTAGGAGCGACGAGGATAGCGTAAACTTAAAAACTCGATTGTGAACAAAACCGATTACCTCCGAAAGCCATCTACCTATCTAATTACTCTTGTTGTTTATTCGAGCAATAATACTTTGGTGTTTGACCTGGTTTTTAAGACGCCAGGTAGTTCGCACACTTTCCAAGGGGTTGTGTATGCATATTTTGCTTTCACTCCGATATTCAGTGCTGTTCGAATACTTTTCTGCTTCTCATGAGTATGTTGCACGGATTCGACTGGTTAGATCTACAAATCTTGTTTCCATTTTTACAGGGAAAACTTTATGATTTGAACACTCCAACAAGAAAGTAGTCATTTCTGAGGTTAACAACATTCTACTCCAAAATTTTAGGCTATCAATTTCGACATCTTTCTGGACTGGTCTGGTTTGGCGAGTCTTTTGGTCGAAAATGCTTGCATGTCCATGAAATTCTGCAGTGCCTTGCTTTGGTACGTCTTTTCTACCATTTTACGTGAAAAACCTCTCTGTAACTTACAGTCCTCCGTGTTGCAGTTTTCTGGAGGTATTTTTGTCTTTTGTCGCGAAGTACGCAGACCCTGACTTTACTTTGGACAATTTTAGCAGACAAAAAATTGATCGTTTCATTGTACTGACTCTGTCAAAAAGTAATATGATGGTAGTACGTGCGTTAATTGAAACACACAAGCCGTTTTTGCGTTTGTATGTTAATTGCTGGTCAAATGTATTTTAACCATCATTGGCATGCATCTAGCAATGGGAGTATGGCCGTGAAGACTGCGTAGGAGAAGGCTGATAAAGTAAAATATCGCATTTTACTTTAATCAGGGACGCCAACTTCGAGACGAATGAATTTCCCTCTGTAGACCATGGTTAATGTTTTAAATTTATGAATTTGCTACAGTTTCTGGCCTAATTTGCCTGCAGCCGTTTGCTTATCCACCGGATGTAAATTTTCAAACCGTCAGCAGTGTCCGATTTTAGTGCACTAGCGCTTTGGGAGGCGTTTGGCTTCTCGCCATGGATTGTTTCGTGTGTAGACCTTTTTTGGAATTACATGAGTACCTTTCTTCGCATTAATCTTCGCGAACTTTTCAGTAATTCCACACATTTAATATCACGCAATCAGTATGATGTATCCATTCTGATGAGGATGCAACTGAGCTTTCAATATTTCTTTCGAAATACGTGCATATGTATACATTCGTTCTCATTGCATCAGTTACAATATCTCACACTAAAGTCACTGCATTTTCTGGAAGCTTGACGTTTCTTCCCTCCCTCATCTTGTATTTGCAGTGAAACTTTGTCTACCAGCAAGCTATTCCAGGCGGAATACCGAATGTAATTCTTCCCAACCCTATCCGTGTTTATTTTAAGTTTACGGAAACCAGAGCGATTAGTCTAAGCTGCTAGAATCGAAATGCAAAACATTTCGCCACACTTTTTAGCTAGGAGTCAGCGTTCTGAAGGCGTTCAGCTGAGGCCATCTACCTCGACCAAAGTTTCTGGGGTATACAGACATCCCTATACTTACGAACTTTCAGACATACAACTGAAGAGGAGTTAGGGATTACTGCATTCCTGGTAATTTTTAGGACAAGAAAACAAATGTCTAGTGTAATCATGCTTATTTATATGTAATTTACTGGCAAAAATTTTGAATCACGAACGGCCATTCAGACCCTAACTCGTCCGTACATATAGGAGTGTCGGGGTACCGCTGTTATTCGTTTTAACCTCACCCCATTCTTCTGCAGGGTATTACTATTGCCTATGTGCTATGTTTGCAGGGAACTCCAATCGCAGCTCGGGCTGGTTTCGGTGTACTTCCGACCAAGACTCAAACTCCTGCATAAAACGATCTTGTGTCTCCGTGGCGAAGCCCTCCTCTCTACCTGGCGAATTCAGCGAAAGTTGCTGGATGCTCTGATGGGAACTGGTAAGTTCGTGACTTAATTTAGTATAGAACGACCTACCAAACGTGGTACAGACGGCGATTACTTGTAACCATTCTGGACTTATATTAGCTTTCTTAAATCACTACAGTTGGTCTGTGGTTGTGAATCTGCGCTGTCTCGTGAGCACAGTTGTAGCCAGCTATTGCACTTATTTGCGCTGAGCAACAATTACGCTACGTTTCTTGGATAAACCGCCAATAGCAGGTTTGGGTTCAAACAACTAGCGCAAGCGCATTGACTGGCGTGGTATAAAACTCGCCTCTACGTGTGCCACACACTTGCTGATTTCCTACCCACTTAAACCAGGCTTAATGGATTCTAATCTCACCTTCGTAAACATTACCCTCTAAACAGCATCCGAAGCGTTGCCAAAGCCTAACACTTAGTTTAGAAGAGGATGAAGTTATCCCGTCAGTTGAGAACCGTCCAAGCCAGGATTTTTTAACGAGCCTTAATCGTCTGATTAGCTTTGCAAGCATCAGATCGAAATAAAGGATTAATAGTTCAATCAACCTACAGTTTTCCTTGCTAAAGTGCTTCCTCTGGATCAAATCCACTCCTTAGATCAAAACAACCTAACCAGATGTACATATGCTAAACTACCACCTACTGTACTTTTGTCCCCGCCCCTCTCCTGACACTTGCCACCGGCAAGTGCAAGGCAAGCCGATTGACGGTGGGGTGGAGTACTGACGTTAAGTCGGCACAGCCCTCCCCCCCGTCTTAAGCATGTCGCTGATAGCGCTGTCGTGTTTAAGTCGACTTTTACTGTGCTTGTGGTTTTGCTGGATGACGTGATGTGGACTGAAGTGCAGTTTACGCAATGTTGAAGCCTATATATATGCGGTCTATCAAGTTTGTTAATATTTCGTGGTCATCCTTACAACAAGGTCACAAACGATCTAACTCAATTGGACCTCAGAAAGGTTTTCTTCAGCCAACGAATGGTAAGACCTTGGACCTCTACAAGCGAACATCCGTGTCCCAGGAAGC